TTTTTTTAAATATATTGGCTTTATTCTGAACCCAGTCATTTTTAAAGATGTTACAATGTTACAGAAATATAACCATTTTTGTTCTGGGTTCCAAGAACTCTTGAGGCTGTAAGCAAGCAAAACTTAGGAATACCACAGGCGGCCTGTTAAAAAGTGTGAAAGGGTGACTGTCTTTTGAGGGAAGGAAAATCTTTTTCTAGCGTAGTGCATGTAAACCTCTAGCCTGGGCTAAAACACAAAAGCTAAGTAAAGTTATGAAAGCTAAAGGGGAATGGGGTGGAGGAGTGCCTTGGGGCCCAGAGCTATGTTTGGGAATTTTGGGAATCTGGTGCACACCTTCTCCGACTTTGATGTAGATGTCTTGAGTCATCTTGAGCTCAGAGAAAGAGGTGACTGCCCTGTACTTCTTCTGGGCCCAGTTGAGGAGTTGCTCATTGCCGTGGGGAAAGGTCTCTTGCTGTATGCGGGTGAAGAGGGAGAAGTTTTCCGGCTTAAACCTGACCTGTGAGCCCAAAGATACCTGGAGGAGAAGAAAAAAAAGCAGGAGTGTAAGGAACAAAGGAACTGTTGGGATAAAACGTTACCTGCTCTATATAACGTGTTTTCTTCAGTTTTTTCAGCTTTCCTCATGTCCAACTCAATTTCAGAGAAAATGTTTTCTGTTAAAAGTGTTTCACTTGTTGAGAATTACATGCACTTCAACGTTGCTCATTCTTATTGCGTCACAAAAATATAACCTGTAAAACACAACAAAGCAATCAAACTAACTCTTTAAATACGATTGAACTTCTCACTGTTTTGCAAAGCTTGTACAAATATGCTCAGGATATTTCTACACATGTTCCTCAACACAACCAGGTGTCTGGTTTCCAGTGTAGTGCGTCGTCACAAATGTATAGTTGTGTTTTAAAGTGGCCACAAGGGGCAACAGATATCCCACAAGGGACAACACATATCTTTGACACACACAAACCCAAGAAGGCAAGCACATTTACATATTAAAAAGAGAAAATATAAACTTTTTCAGGAAAAGACCACCTTTGCAACTTACTGGAATTCAGAGCTTCATTTCAAAGACATAAACATTCACATACGTATTTACTGAAAGCCTACCAAACATCCAAATGAATCCTAGCGCACGGTCTAGACAGCCCACCGCCTTTTATTTCCGTGCTTGTTCTTCTTTCCTCCAAGGTATATTATCTGTATGCATGAGCTGAGACAGTGCTGGCAGGTGCAATTGAAACATTAAATCCATTTGAATCTGAGAAATAATACGTCAGACCACTTCTCTGTGATGAGTTTATGAAGTTGTCCCTAAATTGTAATCATGCTTCAATGATAACAGAATAATATCCCTTCTGACTGTTTAGGCTTTTCAGACATAACTTTTCAAATCTCCGCATGCACAACATCTGTCTGACCTCTGGACGCTCCTCTCAGTGTTCCTGGCATTGTCACCAGAGGCTGTAAATACTGCTGCCTAGGAGACAGACATTGTCGAAGAATTCAGGTTGACTTTATTTTTAGTGTGTTTACTACAGTAAGAAGCAACAGAAAGAACGATGGCGAAGAGGAGAGGGGTGGTGCGCTAAGCTGCCGGGGAGGGGCCGGGGTATCCTTGCCAAGCTCAGCAGAGTTTATCAGTTTAATTGCGGGAATACGACCATAATTAGTCGCAAAGAATTAGAGGGGAAAGCCTGAAAGCCAAATTAGCTCCAGGCCTTCCAGAGTGCTGGAAACCTCAGGAATTTGAAACGGGGAAGTGAGGCACCCACTCTGGGCTTTAACAAACTCTCTCTCTCTGCTCGGCCTCTCTCTGCACGCCTGGCAGACCAAAAAGTGCTGGAAACCAAAGTGTAGTTTCTTAAATGGCATTTATAAATATAAATATACTGTACTACGTACTGTTTACATAAGCTGTCATTCAGTTCTCTGGTGCTAGTTTTGTTGCCGGTGTACTTAAACAGGGTGCTTTAGTTAATCCATTTTGCTTATTCTCATGTCAGGAAACTCTGGAAAAAGATCTTAAAGATGATTGCATTGTATTCATGTCCTTATAGGGCTGTAGCATGGACTGTATATATTTTGAAACCCAACATTAACAATTTGGCTGCAACCATGTTTGTCTTTTGGAGCCAGAAGTGACCGTATTTGGTCGAGTTGTTGAACTGCTAAGTTATCGGTTAATCCTAGCATGCCTAGTTAGCAAGCTGCTTCTAAAAAGTGTGTAGGTGCAACGCAGTGACACATACCTGCTGAATAGGGTTAAATAACCTAAGGCACTAGAATTTCACTCAACAAAACCAAAGAATAAACTTCTTGGACGTTCTGTGCCACACAGTCTGCCATATTATTTGTTAGATATTTCCATTAAAAATATCCCAAAAGACACAAAAATTGCACAAACTGGTAGGGAGGGCCCCATTCAGTCACGTAAATTAGTGTAAAGTGGACACTGTAGGAAGTGAGCTTGTGAGGATTTTGATGTTGGCTTCGTTTTTGGGCTCCAGCGGTTCCCGACTGAGCTGTAGAAAAGAAATACTTGTGAAGTAAAATTGTCTCAACTCTTGGGTGGAGATCTGTTTTAACAAAGTGCTGCCATACTGAGTTCTCTGTAATGGTGTCAGTTATTTTGAAGCTGAGTCATAGTAAATATATTAGACTACCAAGCTGGGGAAGTCAAAATTTGCATGTTTCAACAGGAAGCCAAAATTATTGGATCAATTCTGGAGGCTACTAATGTACCACTCTTTTTCTGATTAAAGTAACATGGGCAAGAAAATAGAAGTTTAAAGACATGACTGCCCTGAATAGAGACACATTTCTCAAATTTTGCAGTTGTTAGAAAATAACTTTAGACCTCTGGCACTGACACACATGCTTTCATGTTCATAATGGTACTTTTAGTCAACCATGTTACTGAAAGTGGTTACAGTTGGAGAGATTAAATCGTTGTTTTCTTGTCATTTCTGCTGCCCTCTTAAAAAAGAAAAAAAATCTTATTCTCTATTAGATTTTTACCTGGATAAATAAAGGATTCCAGAAAGCTGATTCTGGTCATCTGGTCATCTGGATATATTAAAAGTCATGTAAGATAAAAGCACATCTGCCAGTCCTGAAGATCCTAAACATTTAACAGTATATTTCCGGCTCTTTCTGCCTGTATGGATCAACATGTTATGGCCATATGTGGAGCAAAAGGGAGACAGCATGCCAAATGTTTGAGATCAATTATCACGAGCTGCATTCTCACTGAGCAACACCCTTAGCCTGGAAAATTGCAAAAAGCTGTTTGGAAAATAAGAGGTGTTGCAAACACAGGAGGGTGATGGAAAGTGCAGAATGAGTTGATGGATATTATGAGCATGCAATAACTCTCTGATATTAATGTGATAAATGCTTTGGTGGCTGATTTGATCTTCTCTTACTCAATGAGATACTGGGACCTAATCATGCTGCTCTCTGCACATGTGTTCCTGTGAACTGGCAGGCTCTGTTGTGGAGAAAACAATACCATATGTCTCAGCGCCACTCTGGAGCGTTCCTCTGCCATTACTGTCTCCAAATAAAAACACTAGTGGCTACCCATGGTTTCCATTGGTGATTGCAGTGAGGAGAAAGCTCAAACTATGAGCCTACAAATAATGAAAGAAATACTAGAGTGAAAAGGGAAAGTTTGGCAACCAGGCAGTGGACAACATACATGCCAGCAGCAAAGCTTAAACAGTGTTGTTCCATGAAAAGTCATAAAACATTTGCTCCAGATCAAGCCTTTCAAGCGAAGATGCAACACAGCTCTCAACCTCAAACCCACAAGAAGAAATATATGCATTTGGCCACAAAGTCAGCAAAGCACACTTTGCAGATGTCTCACTTCTAATCATGGTGTCCCTTGGTAAAATAAAACTTGGCCTTTATTCAGTGTTCACATTTCATGTCAGTTTACAAACGCAATGATTCCCACCTGCAGCTGATTGACAAAAAGCACTGTGGAAGGCATGTTTTACAACAAAAGTCTGGCATTTTAAAAGCCATCGGAGTCCAGTGGCCAACAGTAACAGTGTGCTCAACATCTCTGAAGCTTTTCCAGGCAGCCCATCTGTGTCCATGGAGCCCTGAGCACTGGGACCAGGAAACAAGGACTGGCAGGTCTGATTCAGAGTCCTGTTAGTCGCAGGAAACAGCCTCTCCAGTGGAAAGGCAAGTGAAGGAGGTCTGGCATAGGGTTTCTGTTCTGAAGTGTTAAGTCCAAAACCGACTTAACTTGACTCTTTGCTCTCACTAAAGCAACATCTCAACTCCTTTCTAAAGCAGAAAGAGTGGAAAGATCCTTAATGTGCTGACCTTTTTTTTTTTTTGCATCAGTGGTCATGGTCAGTTGTCGTTTCATGTGCAGTACCAGAAACAAACTTTTTCTACCTCATTAAAGGCGTGGATGTCAAAGAGCCCTAAACCTTTCCAGGGTTTACTCCACCTTTTGACAAGTGGTTAGGGAAAAAATGGATGAAGGTATAAACATAAAGCAGGTCTGACCAAACATCAATTAGAATTAGTTATGACAGTTATTGGAGATGACGAAGATGAATACCAATTAACAGTTAGGAGAAGACTCAAGCAAGATGTTGAGTTGTATTTCAGTTTTGTGGCATGTTAAGGAGGTGTCACTGTGGAGAGAACCTGAGAAGAGGAGCAACATCCGGGACTTCTTTGGGCAATGTGCAGCAGTCAGGCTGGTGGATAAGATACCAACAGCTTGCACTGCCAGAAGGCTCAGTGCTGCCACTCAAACAGAAATACTTAACACCTAATTCAGCAGGGACCCCTGTAGTCAGTCAAAGCCATTAGTTCGGCCTAAAGTGTCTAAATTTCCTTTATCTCTTTTCAGCTCGCTCAAAAGCTGCTATTATGTGTCGGACAAATATTGTACTGAAGGGCAAACAAGAGAAAGCTGACACCTTGGTTTGGTTGGGTCTAAAATGCTTCAATTTAATGAATACTGTGAATTAAGTCAAAGATGTAAGAATACATTTTATCATTTAAAAAGAAAATTTTATAAAATATATTCTTAATTGGAGATTCAGCTGAAGTTATTAAAACCTTGCCAACATGGTTACACTCACAGCATTAGCTCTGCCTCGAAGTTTTCTTTAAAATGATGGTTTTCAGCTGCTGTCTGTTCGCCACCACTGACAAGGGAAGATATTTAGTGTGATGCTGACCTGCTGGTCTTTGCAGAAACACTCATCTCACTGGCCACACATTATCAGAGCTTAAGAAAACACAAGCTGGCCAGATGCTCATCCATCTGTATGAAATGCATCCGTTTCTTTCTGACATGAGAACATTTCCATTTGTACAGGAAATGATAATTAAAAAGGCTGTTTAGCACTCAGGCCTAATATCCCAATGTAGTAAATTTCTCTGAAAACTATGATCCCACTCAAGCATAAACAGATCCCATATTGGTTAGTGAATTTTAGGAACCTCAAACATGTCTGTTAATGCTTTATTTAAAAAAAATAACAGATTTTCTAAATTTCTCTAAGAATAGAAGAAACCTTTCTAGGATACACGATGAGTAAAAACAAAACCTTGTCAGCTAACTATGTAAACACTTTATTGTACAGGAATCAATCTTGATGCAGAGGTGATGAGACCTAATATGACTCTGTGATGAATGTCCCTGTCACACAAGCCTATAAGGTTTCATAAGATCTAGCAGAGGCCTATTAATACTCAGTGAATTACTGTTCTAAATGTCAACCAGGCTGGGACACACAGAACATTTTATTGGAGTACGTAGTTCTTAAAATTAGATATGGAGAGGTGACAAATAAAAAGAAAAGAAGTTTGTTTCAAGACATAACTGAGCCTTTACGGGAGAACCTCTCTGCTGAAAGTTGTAACATAATACACAAGTGGCATTGTCTCTAAACCAGTTTTCAGTAGTAAGAACACATATGAAGCAGACTATGCTCTGCTGTGTGCTACAGGGTACTTGAGGACAAGCTAATTCTCCAGATACTGCCCACTGTTCATGAGTGAAGACAGCTTTAGTGAGGTGTTTGGTGTTATGTGCCCTTGGCCCTCTGGTTATCTGTAAATCAGACTCTATAATCCATCCCTCATAATTTGTTCACTCTTTATTTAGATGTCTCTGGTCTGGTCTAATGAGCTGGAAGCCAATAAAAGAGAACATGAAGCTTGTTCCTCGTCTTACTTCTTCGTCCACAGCAGCAGCAATGTATACCTGTACAGATTATATTTCTTATTTCTTTATTTTCTTTTGGTCTTTTTTTCTGTTTGGTTTAATTCTGATGTTAGGTTAGATTTTGCGACCATTCCAAGGCTGGTCTCAGTGAATTTGATGCTTTCTGTTGATTTTGGCGGGCCAATCACTTTTTTGTTTGGGAGTAATATTTGATTACGGTTAATATCTTGGGTTTTTTGCTTTTGTTGTTGTTGCTGGATATGTTAAGCATCGTGCATTTGCTTGAGTGTTTTACAGTGGGTTATGTTGGACAACCTTTGTATACACCAAGTGGAGTCTACAAAAGCTGAAATGCATTTAGCATTTAGCAATTGGTTCCTAAGGTTATTACCAGTGTTTTGATGATAGCAGTGGAGAGTGTTTAACATGTCAGACTCGAACATTTCACATAGGTTTTCCACCAGTTTGAGAAATGATAAAAGCAAGACTGACATCATTCTCAAACTTTTGGCAAACTAGTCATTGACTGGGGGATTATAATTCTGGAAGATACAACATCTATCAGGATATAAGTCTGCACTGGATAAAAGTGATGACCCACTTTATTGACTTACAGTGACCCTTTCCTGTAAGAGGGCCAGTAGACTGAAGCGCTGCCAGCAAAAAGCTCCCAAACAACAGTCACTGGATCCTCTTGCTGCCCTTGTGTTATGCGCCTGTGCGTAACACAAGGCTTTTGCCATTTGTCCGTATTCTCCTCCATATCACATTGGCTTTATGAGAAGATGTTTTGAGCTTAAGAAGTAAGCGTGAAAACTCTCAACCACATATGGAAATAATTTGCGTACCTGATGCTGCGTTCTTGCACAATGCTTTGGTGTTAACATAGAAATTGAAAAATGAATACTTCTGGGAAGCCAGCAATACAGAAAAGCCTTCAGCTCACATGAATGCAAAGCGAAGTTTTCATAGTTATATAGCACAGTGAAGCCACAGCTACAACAGAGACCACAGCTACAGCGGAGGCTTCTGGGTTTCATTTCGCACTGATTTTCTCATGTGATAC